AAAATTTATGTTGATGAGAACAATATAATTGATACCACTTCATCAAAACAAGAGATTAGCATAATAGTTAAAGATGGTATTGTTGAATGTATTGGTATTAATTGTACAGTATCAGACCATATTTCATTATATGAAGTAATAGATTTAAATGGTGGATATGTATTGCCAGTATGTGTTTTTTTTTTAACTTTTATTTTGTAATTAACCTAACAAATTCTAATGATAAATTTGATAAATTTAAACCTATTAAATTTAAGGGATTTACTGCTGTTGCGCCATCTCTAGGATTATCGGAGATATATAGAGAATCTTCCACAAACGATGGTACAGTGACAGCTATATCCAATCCTAATAATGCTGAAGGAATTATCTACGCAATTGATGGATTGAAATTTGGCGGCAAACATTTAGAGGTTGCATATAAGGCTGGAGTATCAACTGCAGTCACTTCACCTATTTCGTCCAAAGGCGTGTTTATCGGGGTTTCTGTAGCATTTGAAACCGGTGCTAGCACTAGTAAAGATTTTAAAAATATATCTTAGAAATTTATTAACTTTATCAGCAAGAACTCACTAGATATTTTTATTTTAATAAGTTTTAGATTATGATCCTAATCCAATCGTTAAAGAAAATGTAGCACTTCATGCTCAGATAGGAACTAAATTCAAATATAGTAATATAAAATTCATTAATTAATTATATTTTCGATTTTTATATTTAATTTTTTATTCACGAATTGTTTTTTTTTTAATGAAACAGCCACTATACCGACAGTCTCAGGTCAGATTGCTTTAATTAGAAAAACGTTGATAAAAAATCTACGACAAAACAATATCTTTGGGCGTGCAGCACGCGGAGAAATCCCTTTAGTAGTAACTACTCATAACAAAGATGAAATTGCATCCTTGATCCGATTGAAAATTCAAATTAAAAAAAATGGTGGAAATTTAAACCTTGTAATATTAGGAGGTGCTGAAGCACATATGCTTGCCGTTGAATTAGCATATCATAAAATTCCTGTCATACTCATCCCGTTTCGACCTGTTCCAACGTCATGGTCTGCTCAACATGTGTTAATGGGAGCACCTATTACCAATACAACAGGAATATATATACTTCACAAAAATAATGTTAAAATAGGAATAGGTGTGACAGAATCAGGTTCGGAAAGAAATCTAATTTGGGATGCTGGCTGGATAGGAATAAATTCTGGAGGAGTGATTTCTGAAAAAGATTCAATTGGATTGATTTCGTGGAACTTGGAAGAAATTCTTTGTTTGAATAAGAAGGATAGAAGGTTAATGAAAGGTAACATTGCAAATTTTGTAGCATACGATGGACATCCTTTTGATATGCGTACAAAAGTAAAAATTGTTGCTGGAGGTGGTAGGAGTAAAATTCTTATTAACCCTGAACAAGATTAAAGAGATATAAAGATATTCAAAGTCAACGTTTGTATATATATTTATAATTAAAAATAAAGGGTTCAAAAGTTAATTAAAATTTAATGGGATAACTATGACATAACCTATAAACTTTTTAACCATGTGGTGCAAATAAAAAGAAAACTACGAGTAAGTTGGTGTTTTAAATCGATCTTTGGACATTTATAAAAATACCAGTAAATCAATAATTTTATCATACAGAAATGCAATGCTGCAATGGATAACTGTTTTGGCTGATGACCTTATAGGTCATTTAGCTAATGAATATATTGATATGACTTATTTAATATTAATATCTGATATAGTAAATTTTTTTTTGTTTTACTAGCAGCAATATGACTAAGGTCATATTATTACTTGCGACAAGGTAGAATCGCCACTTAAAAAAATTTCAAAGTAAAAATTTCGTTTTGTTAGGTTAGGATTAGTATCTTGCCATTAGGATACCAAAATTTAATTAAATTTTATTGATCTTGAAATTTGCAAGAAAAAATTACGATACCACGTGACTGAAAAATCGGTTAATTCATATATTTAAATAGATTTTATCATCAGACACGTTCTACACATTTTGTTTTTCATTCTTAGTGAAAAAATTTTCTATTATGGCGCGTACCAAGCAAACAGCCAGACGTGGTAAAAATAAAAAAAATAAACAAAATGTTAGTGCTGATGATATTATTCAAGAAAATAAAAGTAAAGAAGAAATTAAAAGTAAGGAAGAAAATGAAAGTAAGGAAGAAATTAAAATTAAGGAAGAAATTAAAATCAAGGAAGAAATTAAAATTAAGGAAGAAATTAAAATTAAGGAAGAAATTAATACGGATGAAAAAATAGTGGCTTCAATAGACGTAAGATTACCTATTACTTTTACATTTTTTATTAGTCTTGTTTTTCATGTTTTTCCTTCCTGCAGGAACATGTTCAACCTATTAATACTCAACAGTATGACTCAAGAACCGCAGTTTAAAGATTCATCTCACTCATCTTCCAACCCGCTGATGTAATTATGTATTGATCAAATTACACACGTTGTTAAAGTACATCAAGCTATTATCTTTATATGTTTTAAAGTACAGCTGTCAACTATTATTGTTATAAGTTTTTAATGATTTAAGACTTATAAATAATAAAATTCCGAAAATTCTTTGCTTTGCGTTTATATGTTTAAAAAAAATAAATATTTGTCCGAAACATGGCTTATTTCAAAAATTACTTGAATGTGGGTAGGAACGTTAATCTGTCCTGCAGCAATTGTCAGTGCAAATTTTCTAGTATTTGACTAATAAGTAAAGTTGTAGAGAAGTTATAGAAGTTAACTTTAGTTCTGAATAACTTAGTTAAGATCGATTAAGGATCGAACAATGCGGTTCCATCTAAATCAATGTTGGCAATTTTCCCGGCCAAAGCAATTAGTAATTTTGCCATTTTAATGGTTCTTTTTTTTTTTTTTTTTTGGGCTGAAAAATAACGGCTAATGGCAATGGCCAAATAAATTTCACTGATCTAAATTGCTTAATGAGTACAGTATTAACAATTAAATATAAAATCAATTAATACACATAATCTAGAGCCGGAATGCAAATATCTTAAATACCTAACAAGTAAATTTCCTTTAAACTTCTAATAAAAAGTTGCAGAAGAGGTGTTTTCGGTTCTAATGATCAAAATCAGTTGAATAGATCATGCATTTTTGTCTTCCCGATCATATAAATTTTCTTTATTAATTTACAAGACAAAAATGCTCATATCTCACGATCCATTCAACTGATTTTAATGATCTTACCATCATTAGAACTGGGAAAATAAGGTTGCCTGCCATAATAGGTTTGGTAGAATTGGAAGGTTGCAACCTTTTCTCTTAAAGTTGTAATTTTTGCCGTAATAGATGTAATGGTTGTAATTGTCGTAATGCGTGTAATGGTCGTAATGGGTGTAATGGTAATGGGTGTAATGGGTGTAATTGCTGCAATGTAATATCATGGACAGCCTTTGGACAAGATTTTGGACATTTTGGACAAAAAAATAAATGAATTTACTCGAAATTTTATTAAGTTAAAGTAGAATTAAACAAAGAGTATAATCATATAATTTTTATTTGTATTATTAAAATATTAAAGGCTATAGACAGCTTGAACACTTTGGACACTTGGACGTTTGGACGTTGGACATGTCCAATAACAGATATTGTATACGTATGCAAAAATGATTTTAGAGTTATGGTACACGTAATCAAGTAACATTATCAAAATTAATAATAATTTTTTATTTTTGTATACGTAATAGGTTAATATTTTTGGATTCAGAATTAACTTGTTGATTCCAATTTGAATATTTCAAAGAATGATAAATACTTACAGTGCATGATTACTTATCTTTAAATACCCGATACCCTTCAAATCATTTTATTCGCATTAATTTATTCAATGATTAAGAAAATTTATTAACGTTAATCAGTAGAACTAAAATCACGAATCTAAAAATTTATTCATAAACACTTATCCTAAATACTTTTGTCAATTAATTACTAATACCCTCAAATGGAACATGAGTATAAAGATGATTTAACATTAATCAGTAGAGTTAAATCACAAATATAAAAACTTATTTATAAAAACTTATTTAAATGTTTTTTACAATCTAATTGCAGTGAGTATAAAGATGCTAATCAGTGTAATTAAAAATAATGAATATAAAAACGTTTATAAATACTTATCTCTAAATACTTTTTTGTAATTAATTACCTGATACCTCTTCATGAACTTAAATACTTATCTTTAAACACTTATTTACAAAATATACTTCAGTATAAAGATAAAATTATCAAGATTTTTAAAATCATGATCATAAATATTTATTTATAAATACTCATCTCTAAATACCTTTTGTAATTGATTACCTAATGCCATTCAAAATAGTGTGAGAGTATAAAGTGATTTATCAATGCTAAACAGTCGAATTAAGATAATAAATACATGTCTAAATTGTGTGCTAGGTTTATGGCGCAGTTATAACGATAACAAAATTCTTTGAAATGTGTTTATGTTAGAGTTAGGATTAGGGTTAGGGCTGGGAATTAGTAGATTATAAAGTAAAATTGCTTAAGGAAAACTTTTAATTAGAACATTAAAAGTGGTTTCCTATCTATATTATCGAGAAATAAACGATTTTTGACAAAACGAATATACTTTATTAAGGACATGTTAAAAGATTTTTGTTGAGATTGATGAGACCTTTATTGGAGGGAAGAATAAAAAACATACCAGCAAAAATATCTATTAACGTTAATACTACATTTTAAACATTTTGAAATCCTTACAATTTTATTATCTATACTTTACTTAATGATTTTTTTACTATAATTATACAATTCTACTTTATAAATATTTGGTCTGGCTTTCTATAACTTTGCCATTTTCATCAAAATTTTTAGTGTGGGTAAGGGTGGTAGATTCTACTACAAAGTATTTCCGCTGTTTGGTCGTGATCAAGGTCTCTGATACTGATGCCAAAACAATTTTTTGTTCTTTTTTTATTTGTAAATTAGAAACCTTACTACTTTTTTCAGATGGAAGCGGGGAGCAGGAGCTTGTGTTTTTTTTAATGTTTTTGTTTTTATTCAAGAGTTTTGCAAAATATTCTTTTGGATCAGTAGTGTTGTCAAACTTTGGATTTTCTTTAATTGTTTCTTTTTGAAAGAGAGATGGAACAGGTTTAGGAGATTTATTAAAATTATTATGATTGAAATAAATTAATACTATTATAACTAAAAGTCCAATTGCCAAAGTGTAGGCATAATTAGTATTAACATCATATTTAGGAGAAGGACCAGAGCATGAAGTTTCATGTAAAAACATATTAACAAAAAACTGTAAAATTTCAGTGTATCTTTTTTACCGCACAAAAATTCTTTATTTTAAATAGTAAAAAATTATGATTTAGCACCTGATAACGGTTACATTACATTAACTGGAACTGCAACTTATTTTTTACGTTTGTTTTGAATTTTACTGATTTGAAATCTGAGCCACAAACCTGGCACATATTCGAATTAGTTATAACGAAGCCACCCACATTTAAGTTTTTTTTAACCTGCACTATAAATACGTATACGTATAGTTATTTATTTTTCTTGTTAATAGTAACTTTAGTCGTATTATATGCTAAATAGACTTTTTTGTATATTTGTTATATTTATTATTAGAAAAAATAAAAATAAATCCGTTATTGGATGTTTTCGCACCAATAACAGCAACTTTTATTTGACAGGTGAAAATAATCATCCTGTGATCCGTAGGATCACAGTATGACTTTTTTCACCAGGCCAAATAAAACTGTTATTAAATGATATGTACACATCCAATAACTATTTATTATTTTATTTAAGTCAGATTATACTACCAATATACGGAAATTAGTTATTACAACTATTATGATAATTATAACTTATTTGCTAATCGATATGTTTAACATGCTTTTAATAGATTTTGTATTAAAAATTACTGCTATATTAAATATCGATATGGTTACTCGAAATAAAATAGCAAATTATGAAAATGAAAATTTTTGTAATGATTTGACTGTCAAAAACAATTTTTTCGGCCATGTCAAAGATTTTCCTTAAAAATATATATAATTATATTCTAAACATTTTTGGTTTAAAATATAATCAGAATAAAATTGAATAAATTTAATTTTTTTTATTTAAATCCGGAAAGGATTACTGACCCCAGTTATAATAATCCTTACTTGAATACTAAGTATCGGTATGGATATTATTTAGTCGTCTAAACTATCAATTAAAACCAGTTAAAAAAACTGAAATAAAATTGGTCTAAGAGTAGACCAATCTGGACCAGTTTGGACAAATTAAATCTTAACGCTGTAAATTTACAATAGAAAGGACTAGACAGGAATAGACTAGAGCTGTTAATATCCCAAATATTACACGTAAACTATAAACGATAAACGTACTGTACCATGCAATATTAAGTATCAAAAACGTGTTGATGACGTAGAAATAAAAAATTCATTGCTAACTCTCCGAATAATTATTAATACAATATGTGAATGATATTAACGAACTAGAGGCACCGTTGCTAATTCGTAAATAAGGCGAGAAAATATGTAAAGTATATTTCTATGATTAAATTATTCTATTCTTTTCTTTATTTGAGAAGATAATAATATATACATTTTATTGTTCCGACTACATTCAATTGTTACACAACAAATACAGTAATAAAAATTTTTCGAATAAAACACTTTGATATTCGACAAAAAAAATAAAAAAATAAAAAATTTAAAGAAATAAGAATTAAATTATTTGTTAGAAAAATATGTACACTTTTTTTTTTTTTTTTTATGTTTTAATTTCTATTTTATCTCTATCATTATTGTTTACTATAGTAGATGTACTGGATTCACCACATGTATCAACAACTGATATCCTAATCTGATGAGTTTTAGTAACTGATATAAAAGAAGATAAATCATTTTTTGTATTAAAAGAATTCGCAAAATCTGAGTCATTTAATGTTTCTCCAGGAGAAGAAAATCTTGATTTACTGTATATTCCAGTAATAGTTGAAAGTCTTGGAATAATAGATTTTACAGATACTACATTACGTATGATTCCGTAAATTATCGAGTTTACTAAACCAGCGCATGTAAAAATACACCCAGAAATAATTAAACTGTTGAAATATATATATATATAAATTTGCGTTAGGATAATGAGAATGCATAATTGTTTTGTGTTTCAAAATTAAGTGAATGCTTACAATTCAAAGGGAAGAGCGTAATCGACAATGGCAAAAATTCTCTCTAAAATAATAAATGAATAGGTAAACAAAAGTGCATCAACATTTTACCAATGAATAAGAAATTATACTTACGAACAGCTAATGGTGTTACAAGAATAACATAAGCTAATGGAAACCAAACCAATTTCTTATTGACACTTTGTAAAATTTTTGATCCATATGCTGACATTTTTCGTTGTCGATTGTACAAGATCGCAAACATTATTGCGTATATGAAGATCATCAATGTGGCAGCAGATAATATGATAGCATAATGAAAACTTATTCTATAGATATCATAATATTCTGAAATCCAACACCATGAACCACCAGCAGAATCATAAAAACAATGGGTTGGAGTTTGGATGAAAAAACCAGCAAGAGAAATTATCAAGTTAGGAATCCAGACTGCAAACATGCTCATTAAAACAAAATGTTCATATTCATGA